AACAAATCAAAAACCATGAAAATTGGTCCAGCAGATCTCGAGTTATAAGTGGTGGAAAACTTTTCACAACTCTCTTTTATATACATATATGGATATATATATGTGTGTGTATGTGTGTGTGCGTGAGTTTGTTTGTTTGTATGCGTGTGTGTGTCCGAATTATCATTGACTTATCAGTTGCTTGTAGGGTTCAGGGGATCTCGTAGGCGAGCAATCTCGACTAGAGCTTTCTTACTTGTTTTACCTATTTTCTTTTAAAATAAACGTTTTTAGAAAAAAAGAAAAACAATACCCATTTCCTGTATCAAAATTATAGCCCGATTTCATGTTTTGGTAAAAACAATCCGAATCCGTTGCGGATTGATGGAAAAACTAATGTTAATATTCAGTCCGGCCTCCATTTGCCTTAGTTAACTCAAAGATTCTCTTTCTCATTAAAACCACTAATTTGAATAAGAGGTCCCTTTCGAAACTTTCAAATTAGAGATTTTTTATATACACTCATATTGCAAGATTACCCCAGACATTTTCTATTGGGTTGAGATCTGAAGAACATGCTGGCCAGTCAAGGACATCAACATACTTTGTACGTCGGCTCACATAGATTCTGACACTGCCCTGTTGGAAAACCATTCCGTTAAATTCACTAAATCATTAAATTCCCTTAAATATGGTCAGTTTAGACCTCTTTATGATTCCTGAGCTCTTAAGTACTCGCCGAACAGTCATTGCTGACATTTATTCACCAAACTATGTGATGCCAAAACTATACAAGCGGTTGAGCTAATGCTGACTTTGTTAGTAATTTTGAGCTCATCGGGCGCAAAATTCGGCCCTTTTCTTAATCAGATAATTTTTTTCCAAGCGGCATTTCTTATAAACTATCTAAATTTACTTAATTACAATATCTGTAAAGCCAATAGTTTGTTCCGCACTTAATAAACTAAAATTTGCGACAGTGGGCTATAATTATGATACACAAAAATGTAATCAATAATGCTCGCACACAGCGATATTCTTGATCAGGGCGACGAACTGAGTCGATTTCCATCTGTCTGTCCCTCCGCCCCTCCGTATTTATAAACGCGTCGATCTCAGAAGATGTAAGAGATAGAGACTTGAAATATCTTCTCCTGGATCCGTGTATATCACGCGCATATCGGATTTTGTTTTGTAATTTACTCCCAACCCTGTATCCGCCCCCTCACCCTCACAAGACAATTGTGCTTGGCAATACACGCACGTTAATGTTGTAATCAGTAGCAAGTCAATGCGTGTTTATCAGCAGAAAGACTTGAAGAATTATTATGAAATATGAATTCTTCAAAGGGTTTAGGCGATTTCGCAGTCGAGCATTCTCTACTAGAGCTTCCTTACTGTTTATTCATGTTTATTACAATTCATTGCACTCTAATAAATAAACGACACTTTTTTTTTTTCTTTTGTAGGACTATCAGCATCATGCGAGACGTTGCTCTTGGCAGAATTGTCCGTATCGAATTTCAACCCGACGATTATAAGCAATGGACAAGTGGCTACAGGCAATATAACGAGAACGCCTGTCAACAATAAGCAGCTCATTAAAAGCCTCAATAAGAGCTCGAGCAAGAGAATTGTTAACGGTCATAATTCTGAAAGCTCCAAACTGCTACAAGAAACAATTTTGACAACGGAACATGCCGAGAAACTTAAAAAGAAAATAAAAGAACGAGATGTCAAAAGTGATAATATTACTTATACCCCAAGAAAATCCGTTTTAGTTGCTGAGGCAGGCACAGACGAAGATACAGACGGTATAAAAAAAAACACTATCAAAAAGAGTGACAATTTGGAAATCAACAATAGAATAATTTACAAGTTTTATGTATCCTCTGACACGGCTGTGGCTACCGCACGAATAACGTTTGGCGAAGTCTGCGTGGACTGTCCAGATATAGGTTTCTATATTCAGGCAAACGCATTTCCCCTAATCCGTAGTGGCCCACCAAGCCTGGCCGGCAATGAGTACAACTACTTACATAGTACAATTATCAGACCGAATCAAACTGAAGAAATCTCAATTAAGTTCAATGTCCAGCCAAACACATGGCACTACGCACTTCTCAGGTTTGCGAGTGCAGCGGACGAGTTTCTGTTGAATCCCCACTCTGGGCAAAGCACAATCGTTTCAAAAACTGAATATTTGTCGATAGCGAAAGAGGAAGCTGCGCAGGCGCGGAATACCGCGGATGATCTCAGCATGGAAGTGCACCACGTATGCTATGAAATCCAAATAGACTTCGATCCAGTGGAGTCAGAGTCGGACAGTGAATCCAATGGAACTCAGTCTCAGTCTAAAACTGGGCATAAATCTAAATGGGAACCTGTTCGTCGTCGCGGAATGGATTTCTATCCTTTGCTGCGTCAGAGCTATCATGAGTTTTTCATGTTCGACTTCGACTTGCAACCCGATACAAACGGTACAGTTCCAGCACTACTTAACCTAACGGCACTGTCTCCTGCCGCTTTTGCGTTCGAGCTAGGCGAGGTACACGATATTGGCGGTACACTCACCTTTGCCGTGTCAATGAAGCCGGAAGTTCGCATCATCAGTGAGCTGAAGCTGGCTTCACCTACAATGTCGCCACCCTCAGAAAGAGGTGGAATTCTGGCAGAGAAATTAGTGGGTAATTTAGATGACGTTGAAGTCTTGATGGGCCAGGGGCAGCAGCCCAGCAATAACCAAAGTATGCAAATCATTGTATGCATGCACCTAGGTGTTCCAGGCGTGCCAACCTGGCCTGACAAATGCCGCTATGGTCAGCGCTTGCTGCCCGCCTCCAGCATCGTGAATAATACAGAAATAATGGGCCTAATACATGTACCCTTTCCGGAAAGTGGCCTCTGGTAAGGGCAAATAGCAAATAGAAATTTCAGATATAATCTTATAATAATATATATGTACAATAACTATTATACAGGTTCGTCACGATGGGCTTGTTTTGCCATGGAGCCGAGACCGCGCGGGTTACCATAATCGACAGCGTCAAGGAGTTCGTTCGCCAGTACCGTCATTTGTTGCAAGAGATGCGGAGTCCCTGTGCCTGCGCCGCCAATGCCACAATCTATGAGAATTGTATTGGATCGAAAGATTGCTTGGCGGCCATGAACGAAACCGAAACCCTCAAAGTAAAGGAGTGCATGATGGACTCAAAGTGCACCGAGAACTACTTACAAATCACACGACTTTTTGACGTGCACCACAGATCGGCAACGGAGCAGCGCTTTGCGCTAGAGAATTGTAACACCTCTGTGGTGTTTTCCATTTCTTCAAGTCCGTGTGTAGCGGGGCGCTGTGGTCGCTTTGGGAGGTGCTACCATTATATGTCTGGAGGATTCGTATTTTCCACATGCGTTTGCATGAAGGGCTACCGCGGCTGGGACTGCACCGAGGACTCGCAGGTGCCATCTAGCATGTCAATCCTATTGGCCTCGTTGCTGCTGACGCTGAGCAACCTGCTCTTCATTCCGAGCATTTATTTGGCCTCCCGACGCCGCTACTACACCGAAGGCGTCATATACTTCTTTGCCATGTTCTTCTCGATCTTCTATCACGCGTGTGACTCTGGTGAAGACGAATACAGCTTCTGCTTGGTGAAGATCAGCGTACTTCAGTTTTGTGATTTCTATTGCGGTCTGTTAGCCATTTGGGTCACACTTATTGCAATGGCCCACATGCCTCATCAGTTCGTTTCCATGCTCAATATGTTCGGCGCAATTCTGCTTGCATTCGGCACAGAGCTCAACAAGCAGAGCCTCTGGGTATTCCTGGCTCCAGCTTTAACGGGCATTTGCCTCATTTCCGCCAGCTGGGGCTTGCGCTGCGCCAAAACACGCAAGTGGTTCCCAGCACGACGCTACCTCACCATCTTCATGCCGCTCGGCTTGGTGCTGGTGATGATTGGTCTAGTCTGCTACGCGTTCCTCCAGACCAAGCAGAACTATCACATCGTCCACTCTGTCTGGCATATGGTCATGGCGCTTAGCATAATGTGCCTCTTACCCTCGCACAACTCGTTCATACCGAAATCCTAGCACTCCGACTTCTCCATTGAGTGTTACTTTGCAAAACAGGAGCTCAACTTAACTTGTTGATACTGCTGATTCGTAATGGGTCCATCCACTGTGGAATCATGTAATTCAGATATAAGATTATTGATAGACATATTTCTCATAGACATACAACACGGGCCAAAGGACAGAGTAACCAATACTCGGACTTACATTTGTAAATTTTCTAAAAGTTTTTAACGTAGTGTCCTACCAGTGGGGCTAAAAAATTTCCTTTTAGTGAAACTCGTCATGGCTTTTCCAACATCACATTCGTATTCAACTCGTTAGCAACCTGCAGAAAAGTCGAGTCTGATTCAGGATTAAAAAACATCATCTACTTTTGTTTTCTTGTGCAGCAACCTACATATAAGACATGCAGATATTCTAAGATTGTATAAATGATTCCAAACCAATGTGAACATTATTTGCATACATGTTGTGTGCATTTTTTTTTGTTAAATTAAGCCTGCCATCTAATTTTACAACGTTAACTTGGCTATCGAATTAGCAATACTAGACATTTTAAAGAAATATTGAATATCTGTATAAATACTGCATGCTTGGATAAACACGTATAGATATAGAAGTATAACATTAAGAGAAGCTGTTGTTATTTTAGATATAAATGTATTAGCCTATTGATGAAGCCTTATTAATCTTAATAATAATCATTCCTGAAAATGTACTGTCTTGTAAGCAAACATTATACTGGAATAACTAAATTTCAAATATTCTGTAATTAAATGTCGATGAACATGTACAAGAACTTAAAGCATGAAAGCCTTTAAATATACAAGAATCCTACAAAAGTATACAATAGGCTTCTACAATTTCATCGTATATGACGATTATTTTTTATTATAAATTAATTTGCTTTGTATTATAAGGACTTTGATGCCTCAAATTTTATAAAAATACATATATATGCATCGATAGATTATTTAGATTTATTCAGACATAACATGAAATTTTATTTTTTAATCAGTGGCATTTTGCTTTTTATTCAATTTTAGAGTATAGGTCTTGGGGAAAAAACTCCAATCACGAGTTTATGCCAACTATTTTACATATACTTCAATATTTATTAATTGCACTTATCTCACGCTGCCTGAGCCGTAGCGAATTTCTCGCTCGAATTGCTCTGCCTTTAAGGTGCCGTCTATACTTTCACAGTTTTTATTAAATATGCTATAAGCACTTATTTCATTGGGGTCCTTTGGGCCAGTTCTGGTATTGAAATATATTCCAAGTAATGCGGAGAACATCAAAAACACCAGACCAAATTTCAGCTCTATTGCTATCACATACAACGTCACCCAAAACAAGAAGTAGACCGTCCAAAGAGTATATTTTAAACACTTATTATCTTGGCCTTCGCTGGCATTGACGACTCTATGGGACGCTTCAATTTCGTCATCTGAAGACGCATATTCCTCAGGTGTATCATTAATGTCAGATTTATCTGGGGCTGGCTAATATAATAAGAGCTTCATTGTTTATTTTTCTGCTTTAAAGTGCGGAATGCCACATACGACATTTCATACCTTAACTTCAATTGTGGTTTGACATTTTCCCTGAGTTGGGTCCACGCCAGTGCCCAGCATCAAAAATCGTTTAAGTTTCAATTTGAAGCTGCTCAACAATGCCTCCTTTTGTTTTTGCTGACGATAATTTCTCAATTGTTCTTGAAAATCAGCCATAAAGTTATTTTTATTATCAAAACTTAAGATGTAAATAAATTAGAGATGAAACATTTTGTAAATTTAGAGATGTCACTTCTGAGTGGCACAGTTAATACCAGGGATACGGTAAAAGTCACAGTTACGATTTTAAAAATATATCAGTTTCAGCTGGTTGCAAATCTGTGTTAAATTTATTACAAACACTAACCATATAACACGTACGTGCACGTACGGAGGGAACTTATTAATATACGTGTTATTGTTTGTGTACAGCCACTGACCACTGTTGTTTGGTCAGTGGTACAGCTGTTATTTATTTAAAACGATAAAACAATTCAAATTCATCGTGAGTAGCTATCGATACTGCTTTTCATATCACGTCGCAAATTTGGAATGTTTGGGCGGCAAACTACACAAATCTTGTCTTTGTCCAACCTTACGGAGGCTACAGAATTGGCAAATTTACCTTTAAAGCTTTGTAAGGCTATAAAATTTAAAAACTCGCTTCAACTTCTTACAAAGTATGTGTGAGTCCAATAGCAGCGAAATGGCTTGCGTACATATCATATCAAAACAGACGGGCATTGACGAAAAATAATATATGTATGTACATAATTTTCTCACTACATGAACAAAAATATTTATTTTTGGCCGATAACAAACTTTAAAATTTTTTGACAGCGTAAAATATCTAAACAATAATTTAAGCAGTATAAATTAGGTATTTAACAACTCGTGTCGACAATTGTTGACGACTTGAATTTTTTTTTATACCCTGAACCCATTGAATATGCTAGCAGAGAAAAAAAATTAGCGAAAAAACGAGGGGCAATGCAATCGTGTGTGTGCAGGCCAGACGGCCGTTACTCGTTGGGAGTATTATTATTTGCTCAGTTTGATATTTAATATATAGCAATTATAATTTATATAAAAGTTAAAGTTAAGTTAAGTTATAAAAGTTAAGATAATGACATGAAAACACTAACATTTTGCATGACTATGGCAAACCCTTTCAAGAGCTACAAATACTAATACAAATACTCTAAAAGGAAAGGGCATAGAAAGAAATAAAACATGAAAAAATTGGCGCGCAGTTAAGTTTCATATTAAATCGCATGCTTTTCGTTTGAGGGCTCGCAGCGCACTGATTTTGGTTTGAGATTTTTTCACTGATCGAGCCCAGTGGTGCCAGATTTTCAGAGTCATCATAAGCTATAATATTTATTATATAAAATTGATGTATACTTTTTAATAGATATTTGAATTTTATAAATATATTTAAATTTATATTAACGAAATTATATCATCAATTTCATTATTTGCTTCCTCATATTTCTCAGATGTTTTAATTAATGATAAGTACCTTACAGGTACTTTATAATTAAAGCAACATTTGCCATGACGGCGTAATCCACATATGTAAAGTTATCAAGTAAGAAGACTCTAGTCGAGACTGCTCGACTAGGAGATACCCTTAACCCTCCAAGCTGATATTCTTATCATTCTGCACTTTTTTTATGCACGCACACAT